AAAAATTTGGGCACATAACTTTAAACGCTCTTTGATAATCTGTGCTATAAACTTTTGAAAATTTAGACTTAAAGGTTGACACTATAAAGAAACATATCCTTCACACGCTAAAAACAATAATCACAAAACTGACCTTTTTACTGCATTTGATTTCAAATCTATCTAAACTGAAATTTACTTTTGAAACATAATATTCTAAATGTTTGTCTAAATTATGTTACGTCTAAACACAGAAGAATTATTTCCTACATAATAAAAGTTTATCAATATAAAACAATGACAAACCTTTATTTTATACTATACTTTTGCAACACTATAAGATTAAAAAGAAAATATGTTTTGAATCATGTAAAATATAAACTTCAAGAATAAACCACAAAATATTTGTGATGATTTTATATAAATTACAACTAATAGAGTCAATGAAATTCTATTAGTTTTAATTTAATTTCAACTTTTTGGTTTAAACTCTTTACAAGTTTCTAAATTTTCTGTTTTTTACTTACAAATAGTTTTATCAGAAATTTTATAAATTTTAAACTGCTAAGTCAGGATAATTTTTTAACAAAAAGACTTTTATTTTCTAATCATTATTATTTTATTAATATTTATATTAATAAAATTGTATTTTTTTCATTTGATATTTTGTTGGTTGTTCATGAGAGTTCTTTTTACAATTACTCCACACCAAATAAAAATTTTGTCCAAAGATAACAAATGCTGCATCTACATGCTGCATATAAATGGTGTCGTCTTTCTTACTACACAACTTTATGATTGTTGAAGTATTAAAAGTGCACAGATCAAATGGGTTGTTAGTATTTTAATTAAAGAGAATGAAGATTTTATTGTTGTTATCTATACTATGAACAGTAATCGTAGTGTGAAATTCTTGAGAGCTGTACAAGAAGTCAAAGTTTTAATTTGAATTCTTTTAGCCTATTTTTATTATACTATTATGTATTATGTTATTGTGCATTTCAGTCATTAGAAATAACTAGTAGCTAAAACGATCAAAAAATTTAGCATTGCCATGGTATAACTAAACCATCCATGCCCGATGATCCAGATAAAAGGTGTATTTAGCCACTATCAATTTTGACACAAATAGTTATGTAACTTAAAACAGCTAGAGCTAGTAATTTTAACCAAAATTTGTTAAGCAACTGTCTAAAGATTCCAGAAAAACACCACAATATGGTAGCTTCATGGCAAAGTATGCTCAAGAATCACAAATGGATATCTCTTCAATAAATAGTATAGTTTACTTACCACACTTAGATATGAAGCTAGCCAAAAATGAAACTATAGTCACCTCAATGATGCTAATAGATTGACACAATTTATGGCATTCATAATGTTTACAGCAGACCAGCAACTATTTTGTTTAGCTGTAGAAGTGTTATGGGTATGTCCAGTGAGATTTGGAAACTTTGATGTACAGTTAGGAGGAATGCACACCCTTATGTCATTTTTTGGTTGCGTTGGTACATTAATGTCATGATTTGGCCTTTTATTAATTCTTAAAGTTGCATTTGCTAGTGTTAGGGCTATCTTAGTTGGAAAGACATATTCACAAATTACTAGAACATTGTCTATAATCCTGGAAGACAGTCTTTATTATACTATTATTCATATGCGTCAAATGTGAAGGTCACTGGCCTTTGCATATGTGGCCAGTTTGATAAGCATTCTGTAGTCTGTATTATTGTAAGATATGAAATTTTTAAATTAAATAAAGCTATTACCTTCTTTTGTTACTTATTTTACTTGTCTCAAAACTTTTTAAAACAAGTAAAGAAAAAAATTATTACTCATTTTATTTGTCTATGTTAAATCGCTATCTTATAGTCAAGGAAAAATAATGTGTACTGTTATATACAAATATTAGTTATATAATAAATATTAGTTGTACCCTATTTCAAGTTCACATGGGTTCAGCAACTAGACTATTAAAACATTTCTAGTTTTTGCCATTAAAATAATAATTTTTCATTAGAAACAAAAAAAATTTAAATTGTATTAGAAAATTGAATTGCAATGCAAAATCTATTGTTATTGTAGTGGGTTTGTTGTACCTTTTTTTTAGATATGTATTATGTAGATGAATTCTGATACAATATTTAATGTTATTGTATTAAAGTATTTCCATATATATTGGTATTGTTATTGTTTCTAAAAAAATTAGTACATTAACAATAGTTATTGTAACTGTGATTTGTTTTCATTACAACTACAACAGTCCAAACCCTAATTTAAATGGTTTATCTTTACCACTAAATGGGGTATTAGTGTAGCGTTAGAACACCAGAGGTACAACCTACCATATTCTAAAAGTACCATAATCAACTTATTTGTCTGTACAGGAACCTTGTTTGCAAGGATAGTACTTTGGAGTTATAAAGTTGAAAGAGGGTTATAGCATAAATATAACAATGTTTTGTAAATAAAAAAACAATAATTTAACAATAGTAAAAAATAACAAAAACAGAATACAGAAAAATATTACCAAGCAAGTATATACATATATAAATATATTTACATTTTTTAATTCTGATTCACTCCCAACAAGTCTGCAAGCAACCACTATAAAGTCAGGAACTACTAGAAAAAAAAGAATAGAGTTATAGAGCAAGGAAACGGTTAAGGACTTAAAAAGTTGAAGGTTGTATGAATCAGGAAAACATGAAGATGGGAAAGAAATCCAAAGGGTTAAAGTGTGGGAAAAAAAGCTAGATGAGTAAAAATTTTTGGAGAAGGCAGGGACAGATACAGTAATAGAATGAGACTTTGGTGAATGATGAGTCAAGTGAAAATAAGTTTTGGTTGATGGAATTAGAGATAAAAGCACCTTTGAGCAGTGGCCATGGTATTATTTGTAGAAAAAAGATGCAACTTTATGACAATGGGAAAGAGGCTCAAGCTTAGCAGATTAATCGGGTTCTGCTATGTTTATATTGTTTTAATGAAAGGTCAGTAGTAAATGATAATCCAAAAAGACATAATGAAGAGGACTCAGTGAGAGGGTTTATATTAATACAGGAATGTCAACAGTACTGCGATAGTTGTTTGCAATAATTAACTGAGTTTTGTTGGAGTTCAAATTTACAAACCACTGTGAGCCCCAATCAGTTACAGAAGTGAGATCATATATATATATATATATATATATATATATATATATATATATATATATATATATATATATATATATATATATATATATATATGTATATATGTATATATATATATATATATATTATATATATATATATATATATATATATATATATATATATATATATATATATTTATATATATATATATATATATATATATACATACATGTAGTACAATATACACTACCGACAAAAAGTTTGAGGCAGGGTAAAAATTTATGATTTCGAGATGTAAATACCCTTAAATTGTTTATTTTTTCGACTTCAATGAGTGTATTTATGTTTTAATTTATGATTCTAATATATCACTAGTAGATTAGAACTGTTTATAATATTTTAATCAACAAGGGATAGCTGATACATCATAATCTACATTTCTTATTTGTTTAAAAAACAAACATGGGTACTTGTTGGTGCAAGTAGAAGATCGCAGATAGCTTAGATTAGTGTTTCTTTGATTGAATGTCATTGTGAGTGGTCTTTTGTTCCCTTGTAATTAAAAACATATTGAAAGTTTATATTTTATTAACAAAATTTTGAATTTTTTTGTTTTGGAACTAAAAGTCCAAATAATGGCTAGAAGAAAAGAATTAACCATTGCAGAAAGAGAAAGAATACTTGTTTACCACGAAGAGGGCTATTCACAAGTTCAGATAGCAAAAAAAATGAAAATTTCAAGATGTTGTGTGCAAAGGACACTACAACGATACCATGAAAGTGGTGTCCATACAAGCAAAAACCGCTCTGGACGACCTAAAAAGACTAACAAACTACAAGATAGGGAAATAAAAAACATTTCCTTATCAAATAGAAGGTATACTGCCGAAAAAATCCGATCAGTTTACAATAATTTCAACGAAATTAAAATTAGCACTTCGACTGTCAAAAATCGGCTGAAGCAAGTTGGCTTACATGGACGTGTAGCTGCTCGTAAACCCTTATTAAGGCCAGTTAACAAAATAAAAAGATTAAATTGGGCTAAAAGGCATGAAAACTGGTCAATGGAACAATGGAAAAACGTGCTTTGGACAGACGAGTCCAAATTCGAACTTTTTGGTTCAAAACGACGCGTTTTCGTCCGAAGATATGCTGGAGAAAGGTATTCTGAAGAATGTTTAGTGCCGACTGTCAAACATGGAGGTGGCTCTGTCATGGTTTGGGGATGTTTTGGTGGAGAAAATGTTGGATTGATCCACAGAATTGAAGGAATAATGACGAAAGAAATTTATAGAGAAATTTTGGAACAACAAGTACTGCCGTCTGGTGAGAGATTATTTCCGGATCAATATGTTTTTATGCATGATAATGATCCAAAGCATACTAGCAAAATTTGTAAGTCGTATTTAGAAGACCTCCAAACACAAGAAGTACTAAAAATCATGGATTGGCCACCACAATCGCCGGATCTCAATCCAATCGAGTTGTTATGGGAAGAACTTGACAGAAAAGTGCGAGAAACGCAACCATCTTCTCGAGAAAGCCTTTGGAACATGTTGGAAGAACAATGGAATGCAATACAACCCGAAATACTACGTAAATTGATCAATAGAATGCCAAAGATTTGTGCCGCTGTAATAAAGAATAAAGGAGGATATTTTGACGAATCAAAAATTTAATTAAAATAACAATTATAATTAAGAATTTATAATAAAAAAATGTTTAATGTTTATTAGTTTTTGTATTCATTATCATTAAAGTACAAATCATATTAGAAAAAGTTTATTTATTTAGCAATTTTAAAAAATTTAGTACCTGCCTCAAACTTTTTGTCGGTAGTGTACAAATAACAGTTTCAATATTTGAATTAAAAATATTTTTTAGACACAACTTTAAACCATCAGATTCATTTATTGGATACAGTGAAGATAGTTGCGCTTCTATTGTAATTAAACTTTATCAAAAGTATGTTGGGTATGGTGACATTGATCACGATAAAGTTGGTGAGGTTGACCATGATAAGGTTGATTTTTTAAGATTTTTACTTAAATTTAAATATGCAGGCAATATTGTTAAAATAGTATACCACGTTTAGATTTTTGAAGAAAGTTGTCACGTTTTATTAAAACTAGCTACTCCTGATTCTTTAATGCGAGTTGTGAAGACATGTTTGAAAGATCATTTTGAATACTATTGGAATATTTATTTTATTGAGCAGTTTCATGACTCTTTGGCTGCTTATCTTAGCAATGAACTTAAGAATACAGATAGTAAATTTATGCAGGTATCTTTACTTTTTGCAAAACTTTAGATTTCACTATAACATTTAAATTGAAAACATATGCTTTTAAAGTTGTTCAAAAGTTGTATATGAATTCTTTTTGTATTTATATTATTTATTTATTTTTGTGTTTATTATTATTTTGTATTATTATTAATATATTATTTTTTTATTTTTATTATAGTTAATTTAATTATCATTTAGCAGGTGATCATAAATTGTAAATAATTCTTTTTTTTAACAAATTATTAGATTTCAGATTTTAACTTAATTTACATAATAAGTATTGATTATTTGGACAATCGTTGTTTTAAATTAATTTTATTTAAAGTTTTATGCCATTAATTATTGCAGGTTACAACATTTTCTCGACTTTTATCTCCAACCGACAAGGAGAGTTTAAATATTGAGTTGAATGATTTTAAAATTGAGATGTTTTTTCTTATGCAGTATCAAACAGAAAAATCATTCAGAGATTGTCTACGGTAAATTAGAACTTTTGTGATTATTATTAGAATTTTTAAAAATTCAATAAATTCATTAAAATATTTTCATAAACTTAGAATTATAAAGTTATGAATGTAAATACAAATTGTTTTAATAATTTAATAGTTTTGTTTAGGATTTAAATTATTTTTGTTAGTTACTTTGAAGCATTTTTAATGTTCTCGCAAATAAAATCACGAATAAAATTATTTTATGTCTCAAGTCACATTTTTTCTAACATTTATTGTTAGTGGGTTTATTTTAAAATAATGTTTTTTAATCCAAAATCTTTATTTTTAGATTAAAAACAACGTTTTTGTTCAAAAAAATGTTTATTTCAGAATATCATTTGACTTTCAATATGAAAAAACAAATTATACAGTATAAGCATGTGCACCAACCTGTTGGTGTGCACTACTAATAGGTTTATTTTTTTCAATATAATTGATTTTTTTCTTTTCAATAATTAATTTGATTAAGAATAGTTTAAATTGCTGTTAAATTTTTACATTAAAATTACATTTTAATGTAAAAATTTTCTAGAACTTGTAAAAGTTAACTTAGAAATTCTTTTATCATGGCTGCAAGCAATCACTTTTTAAGCTGGGAGTTAAAAGGAAGCAAAAAAAATGGTTACAAACCAAAAAACCAATTGACATGAGATTAATATGGCTGGATAGCTCGGTTGGTTAGAGCATCAAACAAAAAGTTAAAACCCGGACTACTGAACGATACAAGTTCAAATCCTGCTACCACCAACTCAGCGCTTGAGTAGTACTTTGGTACGCAAAAATGTTGGACAATAACAGACGGTACTTTGAATTAGTCTTAATGACTATTTGTAGCTGTTCCTATGCTAAGCCAATAATATCTTTGGATATAAGAACATTTTATAGAATAGTATAGCATGAAAATTCAAATAAAAAATAAAAAAGTTTTAATTGACAGAATTAGAGCAACTCACTTGACCAGTAACCATGGAAATATTTGTATAAAAGAGATGAAATCTTATGATGGTGCAAAAGTGGCTTAAGCATAACAGCTATAGCAAGTCCAAATACATTTACAATCAATTTTTAATATTTTTAAAAAAAGAAGTTCCATTATTATAAGAACCAGGCCAAACATGAAAACAGTAATGCATACAAGAACAAATAAGAAATTTATAGGGCTAAAGAATGGAGTCAAGATTAAGTAAATGGCCATAATAAAAAGAAAGGAAACTATAGTAAATACTAACTTTGAAATTGATTTTATATTTGGTCTCTATGAGAGTTCATTAGTTTAGGATGATCAAGTTGTAAAGTAGAGGACTCAGGAAGAGTGTTGTCATATTTTCCTATCCACTGCAAGTCTAAAGCTCTTAAAGGTTTCATCAGCTGTTAAATCTAAGCAATCAACAAGTAATACCAATCAAAAAGGTTTTTTTTAAGACTTCAGTATATAGTTTGCTATTTATAAAAAGAGTCACTTTTGAAGTAGGATTATCAAGAAGTAATATTATCATAAAAGAGACACAAACAAGGAACATAAACTTGTAGAATAAATGAGTAGAGTCAAGAAGATCCAATGCTTATCATCCTAGGCAGGCAACAATTTAACTCAGGTTTACATCTATGCTAGCTTATTAGATAAAGTAGACGTGATAGACTTATTACTAAATTCTTAGCCTAAAAACAGCAGCCATATGCAGTTATTTAACTAAGATAAATATTTTAAATGAGACACTATAACTAGCCTTTACTCAACTAAAAACTCCTTGGCAGGAGGTATTTTAGGTTGAGGTTAACTTCTACTTTTTGCCTAAAAAAGTGAGTTATTTAAGGCTTTTGATTGTCAGCCTTAAGATGTTTAAAGTAGTAGAATGCATGCTGCACATGTTTGATTGTGTGCAACACCATTAAGCATGCGCATTAAGCCCTAATTTGTTGGTATTGCACACCTCCAACAGGTTGTTATTTTTAGTTTAGTTATAATTTTTTCTTTTTTAATAATAGCATAAATTATAACTTTTATGAGGAAAAAACTGGAAATCTATCATAAAATTGTTTTTACTTTTAACTACTTTTAATTTAAACTTTTAATTATTTAAACATAATTGCCAATTTCCCAACCAAAAATTGTTTTTACTACTATTATTGTAATTTTTAAATTATTGAATTAAAATATTGTCATATAATGTCAAAATATTGCCATGTTTCTTTGTTGTAGAAAAAGTCATTTACAGGTTTATTCATTTTTAAATGTACGTCTATTCATTTGTATATGGATGTTTATTCATTCTTATATGTATTTATTCATTTTTATATGCATGTTTATTTATTCTTAAATGTATTTATTCATTTTTATATGCGCATTTATTCATTCTTATATGCATTTTAAACAAGCACAGTTTTTCAAATCAAATTGTTTTTGTTTCCCGGTAAACAAGGTTAAAAATATTTGAGATAAAGACTTTTTACATTCGATGATGGATTATTTAATGCAGACTACCCTCTTTTTCTTACTTAATTTAGTATTAGGTCTTTGTTTATTTTTATTATTAAATTTATTTGTTGATTAAATTATTACTTATCTAATTATTCATTTCCTAGACTTGAATTTAATTATTTATAATTATTAATACACAAATATTTACCCTATGCATGGAAGAGAAAATAGCATGATGGAAGGAAGAGAAAATAGTGCCAATCAAAAAATAAGGATAAAAGTTACAAAAGAGCACATTGAAATGCTTAAGCATGTTATGTTGAAATAAATAAATATACTATCAAGCATTTCCACTTCTTTTAATTTAACTAAGCACACAGGTCAAAATCTTGTCGTCAAGCTAGTCGTCAACAGAGGAGAGTTCGACATTACTGCATTTAATTTGTTTTCTGATAAAAAACAAGATAAAAGATCTATAAATGCTCCAATAAAAAATGTTATGGAATTATGTGTACAAGAAAACAATCTTTGTACGCAAGAAGCAATATAAGAAAATCTTTCTGAAGCAGGCTCCACTAATGTCCTTTTAAAAACCTTTAACCACCAATGTGTTTAAAGATTTTTAAAGGTGTATCAAGAAAAGATTTTATTTTTGAAATTTTGTGTTAAAGCATCAAGATTTATGTCATCAGTAATATACAGTGTTTTTTTTTCTTTATTTATTTTCAAAATCGTATTTATGATGAAAGTTTTGAAATTTTTTTATTTTTCCACTCAGATTTCCTATACTTGTGCTAACGTTTTTGCTAAAAGGGGGATTGAACAAAATTATGTTACGTTTACGGTTCTTGGTGTGAGATAATTCTAAGTTAGGTTGGTAAGAAAGATTGTAATTAAAACCGGACTTTTTTAATGCTTCATTATACATAGGAGTGGATTTTTGAAAGATTTCCTTGCTTGACAAATTTGCTGGTAATCTTAATTCAATAGATTGCGGGAGCTGCTTTAAAATACTGGCTGGTTGGTTTGATTCAGCATGAATGTAATTTAAAGAGTTTCCGGGTTTAGAGTAAGGTTGGTAGGTGTGGTTGTTGAGGTTTAATGTAATGTCCAGATAATTTACAATTTTTATGTTGCACTGTGTTGATATCAAAAGATCGTTCAATTTAAATATTTCAACAACATGTTTTTTGATTTTTTCCATATGGGGACCACTGATGATTTTTAAAATCCCCAAGCTGTCATCACGGTATAACCCGAAATCATTCTTATTACAAAACTGTGTAATCTGAAATAAAAGAAAAATCAGTTATAGCTGTATGCCGAATATGAAATTTGTTTTCAATAAAAAAACGCCCACAATCATCATGTTATAAACAACAAGAAAGAATCAGCTAAAAATATTTGCAATCGCATAGATAAAAATACCTGCCCTTTAACAAACCAATGCTTAACAGAAAATATAGTATATCAAGCTAATGTATGTTCCAACGATCTTGTTCAAACTCCCATCAATAAATTTTACATTGCCATAAGCAAAACATCTTATAAAATTAGATATGCTAATCACATAAAATCTGTTAAAGTTCCCAAATACAAAAATGACACTGAATTATTAAAGGAGGTGGAGATTAAAAGATAAAAACTTGAACCCGGTTGTTTGATGGAAAATAATTAAACAGTGCGATTTTTAACAGTTTTTATATATATATTCATGTTAAAGAGTTTTTCAGTAGAAGGTTTTAGGTAAATGTTTTTTTTTTTTCTGTATGTTATAGGTGGTTAAAACTACTATATCAAGAAAACTCTAACACTTGAGTTTATCAAGAAAATGTGTTGTGTGTGTGCAAGAAAAAAAACAACTCAACACCAGTTATTGATGCATGCTATGCATTTACAAGGGAAATTTCAAATGAAAAACTTATTAATTTGGATGAAACTGGATTTAATGTGTATACCAACAGCACATATGGTTATTTGCTAAAAAGTGCGCCTGCAATTTTACAATCGTCTGCAAATTGTGGCAAGAATGTTAGTTTGATTTATGTTGTTTCAACAATGGGAGTGCTGGCTTATGAAATGGAAAAAACTGGAGGCTGGAATGCAGATTCATATTGTACTTTCATTACTACAATGTTGGCACCAGCAATTAGGAATGCAGATGTGGAAGCGTTGGTGCTTGTTATGGACAGTTGTAAATTCCACTAGAGTTTTTCTCTTAAGCAAACTCTAGCCTCTCATGGCATAGCTGTTAAGTATCTGTCAGCATACACACCATAGCTTAATCCAATAAAAGAAATTTTTTCTTTTTTAATGCATACTTACAAGCAGGGATGGGGTATTCAGGAAACTTAAAAATATTATGGATACTACAGAGTTTAATTTAATTCCATTTTACAACCATATGCGTAGTTACATAAATCAAGCCCTGGCTCTGCAACCATTTTTTAATAAATAGCAGTGGTACAACCTAATTTATATTTTGAATATATCTATTTAAAAACATAAAAACCTATTTATTGTTTATATATTATATTAGAGATTTTATGGGTAGTTAAATGGCATATAAATACACATGTAAATATGTATATAAAAATAAAAAAATACGTATATAAAAATGAAAAAATACACATATAAGAATAATAAATAATAAATATGCATATAAAAAATGAATAGATGCGCATATAAGACGGAATAACCCTGTAAAGTACAGGTTAAGTTATATTGTTCTAAATTGTATGCAAAAAAATGTTTGATTATATTTTTAGAGTTGTGTGCGATTCTGTTACTAATAAGAAACAGCTTCTCATTATTCAAGCAAATAATGCGCAGGAAAGAAGCAAATTAATTGCATGTGCACAATACATTTGTAAAGAACTGCTAGAGCAGTTTAAATTAAAGAATATATCTGTTTTATTTATCTTGCAATTAAACTATAAAGCTAAGCAGTTAGACTTATTGAGCTCAGTGTCATTTTGGGAATGCTGCCATATTGATGAGTTACGTAGTTCAAACTTGCCTCATCTTATCAAGTACTATGGAAAATCTTTGAAAGAAATAATTAGCCTTGATGATATAAAACCAAAAATGATTCAACTAATATTAGGATGTGTACAAATGGCTATTCGGCGCCTAAGTGAAATGAAGCAAATGACTATTGAACAAATATCACAAAGAATTAATATTTTAACAAATCTTTTAACAAGTAAACCTGATGGTAATTAGATTTTTTTAAGTTAATTACTTCTTATTTAGATTTAAGTTAAAACTAAATTTTTATTGTTGTATAAGAACTTCTTTATTAATCTTTTTATATAAGAATAAAATTAATTTAAATTTGTGTATTTATTGAAACAATCAAATAATTTATGGAAACATTAACTAATAAATTGTTTATTGTAATTCCTTCTGTGTGTATCATATATATATATATTTTTTTTCAATTAAATGATTGATGGAATTTGAAAATTTAAATTTTAAGTACAAAATTCAAATTAAATTAACTAAGCATAACTAGTTAAACATTAGGAAAATAGAAAGTTAAATTTAAAACATGTACCAAGGTATTCCATCTTTGATGCAATTTAATACAGTTAGAAAAGTCTTTTTTTTTACTTCAGTTACTAAGTATTTCTCTTATTTTTTAACATTTAATTTAAATAATTAAAAAAAAATAGATAAAATTTGTTGAATGAGCAGTTTTTTATCTTCTATACCATTCATATTGTTTTTGTTTAAAGTTCGTTATTGTTATAAAGTTTTGTTATTGTACAATTCTTCAATTGTCAAGCAAATAGTTTTAGTAATTCTCCTTCATTTTTTTTAAATTAATTTCTGTAAATGCAAATAAAATCTATATACTTATTTGACAGCATTATACTTCAGATAGCAAATATAATATGGGTTATAAATTATGTTAAAAATTACAATGTATGAGTACTTTAAAAAACTTTAAAGCTTTTGAAATCTGTTTTGAAACAAAAGAGTATAATGATGGCATGATATTTTTTTTTTAAATACTTTATAAATAAATAATAGTGATAGTTTATTATAAATTATGGCAACAGTAAACTTGATTAATACAATTTTGTAATTGTATTTCATTGATAACTGAATTATGAAGTTTTTTTAAAATATAACAATTTAGTTTGCTGTTAGCATTATTTAAGCAGATTTTTAATCAAAAAAATTATGTTATTAAGTTATCAGCAAACTAAAATATTAAATAATAGTTTATATTATTATATACTATATGTTAGTATATTGTTTCAAAATTTTGTTTCAGATATTCGATACATGTTTAACACAACTGTATTAGAGCTGATAGAAACTGGTTTAGCTGCAGAAGAAAGTAATTGGCATCCTGATTATGTTACAAATTGGATTCAAAATGAAGCAATAGAACAAAAATATCAACCATCATATGGAACATTTAGACATGCATTATTTTATTATGTGGAAGATCGCATTGTGCCTGTTTTTACATCCATTGTTTCTAGTATAGATAAATTTCATAATCTTGAAATTCTTCACAATGAACCAAAATATACAAAGCTCTGGGTAGAATTGTTTTCTAAATTTATGGTTATTTCTAACAATGCCCCCTGCAAGTTATTGGATCCATATTTTCATTGCAAGTTTCCATTTTCAGATAGAGTTTTTAAAGAGATTGATGATGCATTGCAAAATTGCATTCAACTAGGTTGAAATTAACAAACTTAATTTTTTTTTTATATTTCTTTTATTATCTTTTCTCACATAACTTTTTTAAACGTTGTTAATATATATATATATATATATATATATATATATATATATATATATATATATATATATATATATATATATATATATATATATATATATATATATATATATGTATATATATAAATATATACTATATATAGATATATATATATATATATATATATATATATATATATATATTTATATATATATATATATATATATATTTATATATGTATATATGTATATATATATATATATATATATATATATATATATATATATATATATATATATATATATATATATATATATATATTAATAAACAGTTTTAAAATGTATTCTACAAAATAGAGTGCTCAATGTTCTTAAAAGAACGGACCACTAACAAATTAGTATAAAATCACTTAACAAAAATATTTCATTTAACACTGTGTTTCATCAGTAAGGACTCATCAGAAATGAATGATCAAATTAATAAAACTTCAATTTTTCCCAAAAATTAGTTTTCAGGAAGTTGTAAATGTTTTAGCTACTGTAAATTTTTACACATCAGAGAAATATGCTGACACTTTTATAAAAAGAATTCTTTAGAGTTGATTACTTCTGTTTTTTTATAAAAATATTTTTTAAAAGGGGTTTTATAAAACCCCTTTTAAAAAATATTTTTATAAAAGTTTTTTTATAAAAAATATTTTTTAAAATTTAATGTAATTGTTATTTTAGCTCACTCACTTTTATAGTTTTTCAGGAGAAACTTATTTTCATGCCTGCATTTAGAAATCAATTTTTCGTTTAATAAACATTTTTGGTTTGCATATGAAATTATTTTAAATTTTTCTTCTAAGCATAGTATGTATTTTTTAGAAATATTGTTATATGCAAGGCTGTTTTAAGGATGGAACAAATTAGTATAAAATCATTGATGTTTTTATCTTTTAATTCCTATATGTATTTTGACAGCATGGTGTCTTTTGAATAAATTTTATTTTTAAAGGATTGCTTATGATTGGCAAGACGTTTTTTCCATTCACCTTATGTTAAGCCAATATACTGTTTATTGGGTACATTCTTATAGGAAATAACATATTTATATACAATGTTTTTTTGATAAATGAATTCCACTCATTGGACAATTGTTTTTTTTTTTTTTTGTTTACAATTACAATTTTCTGTAGTTTCTTCATTTAGTATTTCTTTTTTGTTTAACAAAGCATTGTGATCTTTTATTATTTTTTCAATATTTATTTTGCAACTGTGGCTAACTTTAATTGTACTTTGATTAAAAATTTTATCTAATTTATTAGAGGGCAGGAAATTCTCATCAAGTAATTTTAAAAATACTTTTTCTATGTTAGTGGAAACATTTTTGCTAAGTGGGGGGGGGGTTGAAAGAAATTACATTTCTAGTTCTATTTTGCTTTTTTGTATTCTTTTTTTGAAGGTCAAATTTTAGTTCAAAATTTTGCAGACCACTTTTTTTAAGGCTATCTTCAAAAATTTGTTTAGAGGCATTGAATACATTTTCATTAAAAGATTTTTGGTTTAGTCTGTTATTAATTGATTTTATAGATAATTGAATTGAGATTTGTTTTAGAATTTGTGGTGGATGGTTTGAGTTAATATTAATATACAATAGTTTATTGTTTGGTTTTATGAAAGACATATGAATTTTCAAAAAGGTTAAATGTGACATCAAGAAAATTCACAATTTTTAAATTTATGCTTATTTCAATTCAAAAGCCAATATTAAAAAAAAAATTTATTATATCTTTTCTAATTTTATTGAGCTGTGACCAGATTTTTTATACATTACTTTTAAATTATCCTTGCAATAAAGGTCTAAATCATTATTATTGATTATTTTACTTAGTAAATCTAAAATATATAATCCAAATTTCAGCTCCATCATAACTGACCATAGTTACATCAAACCTGTCATATGTTTTTCTTTTTCCAAGTTTGCTTATCAAAATAAAGTAAGGTTTTTCTGCAATGTTTTATTATACGGATTGTTGTTGTATTATTATTATTATTATTTTTTTTTTAATAATCTTTGCTACCAACAAGGTTGCAAGCAACCACTAATTAGTGTTGGAAGTTACTGGAAGAGAAAAGATGAAGATTGTAGAGCAAGATAACGATTGACAGACGACTTAAAATATTGCAAATTATATGAATCAGGAAAGCAAGATGAAGGAAGCGAATTCCAAAGAACTGATGTTCGAGGAAAAAAACTAGACGAATAAGAGTTTTTGGAGCACTTAGGAACAGTAACAGAAAAAGGATGGGACTTAATTGAATGACGAGTAACACGAGAATGAATTTTAGTAGACGGCACAAGAGACGCTAGCTCTTTAGAGCAGTGCCCATTATAGTATTTGTAGAAAAGAGAAAGAGAAGCAACATTACGACGATGTGACAGAGGTTGGTTGGAGGTTGGCTGCAAGAGTAGGTCCAACTATGTTTACAATGCGTTTTTGCACCTTGTCTAAAAGAGAAAGGGCATCATTAGAAGATCCGCCCCAGATATGGCAATAGTATTCCATACAAGGCCGGATTTGAGATTTACAGAGATAGAGAATAGAATCCAGAGTAAGAAAGTGGCGAGCTCTATAAAGAGAAGCAACTTTAGCAGATGCTAATTTTGCATTTATACATTATACATTTGGAATAAATGTTTGGCTTTTTGCAAATTCAATTGTTTTATCTAAAATATCTGCAGTTATTGTAGGGTAAAAATCATTAATGCCAAACTGAATAAATGTACAGTTATTTTTATTTTCAATTATAAACAACCAATTTATAACATCAGTGGTATTTGTCCACTGTTGTAAGTTTAATTTATTTCTAAGAATATTAGTAATTTTGTCTAATTTAATTTGCTTACATGTCCAATCTTACTTTTTGAGGGAACTAATAACCTGTAAGTAAGTTCGTTTTGAAAATTTGGTTTATGGTTTTTAAGTGTTGTAAAGGCTTGGGCAGAGGCAGTCTATTTGATTCTGTTATCAAATTTTATTTTTTTAGCAATACTTTGAGCTTTTAAATTAATTGCGTTTTCCAAATTTTTAGGGGGTTTCTCATAAGAACTAGTAGTATTTTTGTGTATAATTTTTTCATAGTTTTCTGTTGTGAGTTGAAAAATGTTATTTGTTTTATCAACAAAAACCAAAATATTAGGGTTTAATTTAATTTTTTTAACATCTGACTTAAATTCTGTTGAAATTTGTTTTTTATAGGGCAAAACTTTATTGTTTAATTAAAGGTCATTTTCAAAATTTTCCAAATTGGGTATAAAAGATGGTGTATTTTTTGTTTTAAATCTTTTAATTATCATAATTAATCATAATTATCATTACTAGCAGTAAGCAACCCGTAATACGCGTTGTTAGTAATTAAAAATAAAAAAACCTGCGTATAGAAAAGCCTAGAAACTACTTTAAAATAAAAAAGCCTAGAAAATGACGTAAATCAACTAATAATAATATTAAATTAGCGTATTCATATTATCAGATTATCATAGTTAATCATAATTATCTTTGTTATTATTAAAAATTGAAAATTAAAATAAGCATAAGTTTAAAAATTTTCTTGATGTGACATCAAGATTTAACGTCTGTGAAAATATAAGCGTTTCAAAAAACTAAAACCAACATTGCAAGGGCTTAAGGTTACCCAATGCGGAGAAATTTATAAAGAAAAAATTGTTAGCATTCTTTGTATTCTTTGGAACAACAGAATAAAATGGCATCACCATATAGTACAAATATCAAAAAAGATAAGTAAAGACATCTACCTACTTAAAAAGTCCAATAAACTATTGCCTAGTTAATCTAAAGTTGTTTTATAGGATGCTTTAATTAGAAGCTATCTAATGTATGGTGTTTAAATTTGGGGAAACAGTAAATCAAAAAAATTATGCAACTCAAATGTTAACAAAAGAAAGCTCTACAGATGATTGGTCCCAACAAGGTACACACAAGACCAATCCTGAAAAAATGGAATCTGTTATTATTAAATCAAGAATATCAAATGGCTATTAAAATCCAAGCATGTATGGTAGTATTTGATTAGCACCATCATTTTTATTTAAAGATTTTAGTAAGGTTAACATTGAAAAACCTTTAAGAGTTAACAGAAGAATAGCCCTTCCTAACTTTAAAAGCTGAGTGTTAGCAAATCAAGTCATTAACAAAATTACAATTGAAGCTAATCAATTGAAAGACTTAGATTTGCTTTTAAGTGCAAAAAAATTTAAGAACCAAACAAAAAAACCTTTGTGCTCCTTATATGGCTTCGAAATGTCACAATATCGGTTGTGCTGAATGTTGGTTGTAAAATTTTGTTTCATTTTTTCAAGACATTATATCGACTGTATAAATTAGGGAATAAAGAAGAAACCTTTTATAAGATATTATCCCTTTTCAGTTTTCAAGATAAATTTACCTTTTTATTGTAAATTTATATAATACTGAAAAAATTATTATTAATAATAATAATAATAATATATACATTAAATATATATAAGTTGTATGTGTATGTATATATTTAAATAAGTAGGTGCTCCATACATTTGAACATTTAAACGATTTTTTGAAAATATCTGCTCCAATAATATATATTTAACTTTATTAAATTTTTCAAGTAGAACCTGTTCGTGGTGAAGTATAACCTGTTCATGGAAGCATATATTGCAGTTCTCTCTTTGTAGTTGATCAACAAGCTCGGTTCTTAACATCAACAATTCAAAGTTAGCATCGGATAATTCTGACAGGTTATGCAAGCTGACACTCGTGTATGAACTGTCTTGTGGCATTCATCTTGAAGCAACAGTCCAAATGTGCACAATGGCAGTTCAGCCATATTCAGGAAATATTGAATCTATATCAAATATAAAAAAAATGTGATAACATATTTTTATAAAAATATTCCATACTAATTCAACCAAAATAC